GAAAACTGATTTTTTTGACATTTTTTCAAAAAATCATATCTTCCAAAGAAACAGCTCGACCAGCGCGAATTTTGCACATAAAGAAAGAGGGGATCAGAAAACCTGACATACTGATTGTTTTGGATTTTATAGTACGGTTTTGGATTTTTTAACGGGCTTGCTTAAAAAATCCGAACTTGAAGTGATTTCCTTTTCCCAATTTTATCTCTGCGTCGCGAGTTTAGTAGATAACAGTCAAGGCGGTTTGAGAAAGTGCATGAATTGCTCTTTCCAATAGGTTCTTAATCACGCAAAAACATTGTGTTAGGAAGAAGTTACGATTTTTTAATTATGGTGGGACAGAACTTTCGGACCAACCTAATATATAATATATATAATATAAATAATATATATAATATATATAATATATATAATATATATAAATATATAATATATATATAATATATATAATATATATAGTATATATAATATATATAATATATATAATATATATAATATATATAATATATATAATATATATAATATATATAATATATATAATATATATAATATATATAATATATATAATATATATAATATATATATAATATATATTAGGTTGTCCCAAAAGTTCTTGCGCCGGATATTCAAAAAATCATAACTTCCTTTCTTCTCAATGTTTTTTTCTCAAAATTATTTTCATGTGAAAGAGGAAACCTTTTTCTTTACAGTTACCTTTGCCATGAATCAGCGTTGGTAAGTTCGAGAGTTATAAGCAATTGAAGGAAATTAGTCAAGATCGATATTTTTCAAGCTGGATCACGAAAAATTCTGGAAGTACTTTCATTTGATAGAGAAAATTTTGCACATTACAGTGGTACCTTTCCCATAGGATTAAACGAAAAAGATCGAGAGTTAGGAGCAAATAAAGTTAATTCTTTCAGTTTTGCGATTTTTGAGCATGCTTAAAAAGCCTAAAAACATCACAGAAAGGGCGAAAAAGTCATGAACATGGGTTTTGTGACCTTCTCTTTTTAGCTGAGCAAAAATCGTGCCAATCGGGAGCAATTTTCATTTTCGTGAAAAAAGCAGGCCCGAAAATCCGAATAAATCACGAAAATCAAAATTGCTCCCGATTGGCACGAATTTCGCTCAGCTAGCAAGGGAAAATCACAAAACCCATGTTTATCACTTTTTCGCCTATTCTGTGACGTTTTAAACTTTTTTGAGCATGACCAAAAATTGCAAAAAAGAAGAAATTCTCTTTATTTGCTTCTAACTTTCGATCTACTTCGTTTTAATTCATGAAAAAGGTATCACTGTAATGTGCAAAATTTTCTCTATCAAACGAAAATACTTCCAGAATTTTTCGTGATCCAGCTTGAAAAATATCGATCTTGACTAATTTCCTTCAATTGCTTATAACTCTCGAACTTACCAACGCTGATTCATGGCAAAGGTACAACTATAAAGAAAAAGGTTTCCTCTTTCACATGAAAATAATTTTGAGAAAAAACATTGAGAAGAAAGGAGGTTTTGATTTTTTGAATATCCGGCGCAAGAACTTTTGGGACAACCTAATATAATATATATAATATATATAATATATAATAATATATATAATTTATAATATTAGGTCGTTCCGAAAGTAATGTCGCTTTTTCCGAATGAACTCCACTATTCGTGGAATCAACATTTTTAGGAGATCTTAGGAGCATTCGATGCAGCATTTCATCTTCTTTCTAACGGTTCTAATTTCACTGCATAATGTTATATGAGCTCTCGAAAAATTACCAAAATCTGCGACTCATGCTTTTGCCATGGTCAAGTTCGGCTATTTTTCTAAATTTTTGTACTTATTCTCCGAAGAAGCACAAGTGACTGGTAGATAGAGCAAACCCTACAGGACACAAAATAAATTTTTCTTTTTTTTAGCTTGCTTCTCAGAGTTTCTACAATCAATTTCTCAATGCCATCAAATTCCACATTTAGTCAAGTCAAACCTCACAGAACAATAACCGGCAAGCGACTCGGGTGTCATTCGATGCAGCTTTTTCTCCTCTTTCTAGCGGTCGTTTTTTGTTTCCGATTCATCATGTTTTCCGGGATAAAATCATCATAATTCAACTTTCTCAAGGCACCCCAAGGTGTACCCGAAATTTTCAAAAGTTGCTAAACCGAAGCGGTGAATGCTCGTTTGGTTTGTAAAATTGTTGCCAAACCATAATCCATCTTTGTAAGTTTCAAAATCCGGAGACTTGTTGGCGTTTAATGCACTTGTGTCTGGGACGAGCCTGCTAAAATTCGGTATTTCCATCAAAAAATCTGTACAAAAATTATGACGAGCTCTGCAAAGTAGAAAAAAGTTGTGCTGTTTCCTGTAGGGTTTGCTCCATTCATCCATTACTTGGACTCCTTCGGAGGTTTGTTATAAAATTTTAGAAAAATTGTGTAACTTGGCCATCTCAAAAAGCATAGGTCGCAGATTTTGACTCTTTTCTGGAAGCCCATCGAATCTATTGCAACAACTTTATAACCATTAAAAAGAGAATGAAATGCTGCATCAAATGCTACCAGAAACTCTTACACATCTTTGTTCCACGAGATGTGGCATACGTTTGAAAAAAGCGACATTACTTTCGGAACAACCTAATATATATAATATATAATATAATATATACATAATATATTAGGTCATTCCGAAAGTAATTTCGCTTTTTTCAAACGGGCACCACTTTTGATGGAACAAAGATTTCTAAGAGATTTTGGAAGCATTCGATGCAGCATTTCATTCTCTTTCTAACGGTTATCTAGTTGTGGCAAAACAGTCAATGAGCTTTCAGAAAATAACCAAAATCTGCGACCCATGCTTTTTGAGACGGTCAAGCTTCACGATTTTTTAAAACTAAACTTTAAACTCGTACTCGCCGTTTTTCAAAAAATTTTTTAACCGAACATCGGGGCTCGCTAAAAAATGAGTTATGATGGTTTCATCCCCGAAAACTAGACGAAACGGAAACAAAAAACACCCTTTAAAAAGAGGATAAAATGCTGTATCGAATAGTGGCCGCGCTGCTCTTCCTTTGATGTTCTACGAGGATTTAGCTGCCTGAGTATGGAAATGGATAGCATCAGTTAAAATTCTTTTAAAAATGTATGACAAGCTACGGAAAGGAGAAAAAAGTAGTTTTGCATTCTCTAGGGTTTGCTCTATAAAGACGTTACTTGCACTTTTTCGGAGGATTGATATAAGATTTATAATAAATTGTGAAACTAGACTATCTCAAAAAGCATAGGTCGCAGATTTTGGTTATTTTCTGAAAGCTCATTGAATGTTCTGCAACAATTCATAACCATTAGAAGGAGAATGAATCGAATGCGTCCAAGATCTCTTAAAAACCTTTGTTCCGTCAAAAGTGGCGCCCGTTTGAAAAAAGCGAAACTACTTTCGGAATGACCTAATATATATATATATATAATCATCTTAATATATCCATATCATCATCTTACCTTACGGTCACGTAACTCGACGTAACATGCCAATTTTCTTTTTCAACTACTAGGATTTTGTAAGGATCAATCGTGTGTCTATCCTGGATTTCGTCTCATATTGGCTGAATTTAAGTGAGTTTTATGTCAGTTTGCATGCATATCTCCTGCTTTAGCAGTTTCGGCGACTCTCAGGCGTCAAAATCCATGCGTATTTGGACAAATTCGGGCGTAATCAGACGAACTTGGGCGGATTCTGGCGTATTCGGAGGAAATCGGGCGAGTCTAGACGGGTACCTGCGCGGTCTGAAAGATGTTTAAGCGGCAGCTCTTCAAAGCTCCGCAAGTGGCCTTGTGAGTAATGGAACTCTTTCTAGCGCCACAACCCACCAAACATTTGTTTAAAAAAGGTATTCGCGTATATGAATATGGCTTTGAAAATAATAAATGGTGAATATGTAATGTAAAAAAACCTATGTCTACCTTTGAATAAAAGTTTTAATGCTATCATATATAATTTTTTAGAGGAAAGAAAATCGAGTTCGACAGAATGATGAGTGCTGATGGTTTAGAGGTCCATGTAAAAAAAACCGGTATGCGCTGTTGTGGTAAAGACTGAGGGAGTGAAGGAATTTTAAGTGTTGGATACATTTATTCAATAGCTTTATGAACAACAAAGAAGCTTAGCTGTTGATTTTTAGTATATTTACAAAATTCAGTTTGTTCTGTTGTGCATGTAAATAATTATGTGCGAATTGTTCGTACTATAGTTATTGTCTTTGATAAGTGTCATTTTACAATTATGAAGATAACTCATATAAATAATTTCAAGCAAATTCTACAACAAAAACCGCGCGAACAACACAAAAGCCGCGCGCAGCCACAATATCGCGCAAACATCCACAGAGACTGGTCGACCTCCACAGTGATCGCGCCAACCGCAAAAACCGTGCATCCATAGACCGCCCACAACCACAAAGACGGGGCAAGCGTGCACCGTTTGTATCGCTGTTGGTGAGCGCCCACAATAACGGAGCCGTGCCGATACCGACTGAGCACATTCGCGCCCAACGGATTTCCCGGAAAAGTGAAAACCGCTCGCATGGTATTGTGGCCTGTTCGGTACTTTTGCCTGATGGTGTCATTGCACAGTTGACAGAGTGTCGCACATATACGGCGTGCGCACCGCATAGTCCCAAATTTTATGTTTCAAACATAAAACTTGCACATACTTCAATAACCTAAAACCAAATAAGAAAATATTTTTAGGGTGGTATAAATTGCTTGAGTACACTCTAGAAAAGGAAGCTGCAAGTAGAAACAAAAGCAACAAGTTCGATCACATTGGTACCTATTATAGAGGATAATGTCAGCAAACCTATTTACTTGTTGTCAAAAACTCCGAAGCTGATAGTGGCGTTTACCGAAAGGCATTCTAATTTCAAAGGCGCTAAACATACTGTATCTAGTTGCAGCTTTTTTCGTTGAATGAAGTGGATATTAGTGTTTATAGCTCATAAAACTTATTGCAGCAGCCCTCTAATGATCGCCACTGTTTTATCCATTGCAAATCATACCGAGGAGCGCCAAGCTGTACGTGAAACCTGGGCATCAGAAAGAGAATCAAAATTCATCAAAGTGAGTCAAATTTTGTTCTACGTTTCAATTCCGGCTGTGCTATAGATTTCAATCCTGGACTTAGACCAATATCTATAGTGTGCACGATCTCCCACCGCACATCTTGTGAAAGAAAAGTTACTCCCATTACATCTGGTTAACATATTTGCCTTTGCAGTACCCCCGAGGAACCCCAAACTGAAGTTCCGCGACATCCAGTTTGTAGTAATCCCTCGTTGTGATGCTCGCGACGTTCGAAACATCGCACGTACCCCATACGCGTCGTTGGCGCAATTAGTCGCGTGCCTATTTTTTATCGCGGGCGTGGCGATCGCTGGACGTTCACTGCAGGACGTGCTCGTCCTTGCGCGCAGAGAGCGTCGTCACTTGAGAGGCAGAGAAATAAAAATAGTATGCCCAGCGGGGAGAGGAGCGCAACCGATTAGAGGTCGAGTACATCGTGTTCGTCCTCTGCGCAAGGGCCGTAGAACACAGCACTAATTTCAACGCGCCAAATGTAATCGATACGAACAGCTGATAAGCGTTCAAATGTCATCGCGCTGAGCGACTTAATCTGTTTTCTAAGCATATCTGCTGCTTCTTTGTGACTGAGAAAATGTGAGCTTAATTTGATTGCAAATCACTTCAGAAATTTACATAATCGTATCTTGTTTTGAGCCTTTTTTCTTTTTATTCTTACATCGTAACTCATTCGCGCATCAAACCACTTTTGCATGTTTTTAGTCCCCTTATTTTTTCCATCTCAGCAATATATGCATGTATATCTTCTGAAATGCTGAAACGGGGTAGAAGAGAGAACGGAGAAGCAACGATATGGAAAAAGGGAAGGGGCTGAGAATGCCCAAAAACGAAAATCATTAGAAAACAAGAGCAAAGTTCCCATTTTTTCGCATTTTCTTATTATTTGCATTTCCTAATTCGAGACAGACATTTTGTTGGATAAGCAGAGCAGAAAAGCGCTCGTTCTTCGACCCCCTTTCGAGTTCGAAGTTCTGGTGATCAAAAAGGGAAGCGAGGTAGAGAAATAAGGCAAATGAGAGGAATTGGGAAGAGAAACCTTAGAAAGTTCGAAATTCTCCAACTCCCGCCGTTCAGAACGCGTGCGCATGCAGCACAGTTCCGGAGCAGTTCCAGCATAGTGCGGGAATTGTGCGGGAACAGTTCCGGAACCTGTGAATCAGTTTGAACCCAGCCTTTGCTCTTTAGCAATGGTAAGCGACTGTTCTGCCTGAGCAGCACGTCCTTCAGTCGAACACGTTGTGTCCTCCGTTTCTTTACATTACGACATATTTCGGAGGTTTACTACGGGCCCTAACAACTGTTCTTGTACAGGAGGTATTCGTTTGTTAAAGATGTCTTCGCCTGATTTATTCTTCTAGCAACATTTGTGTACCCCTGCCACTTTCGCTGATCTAGAACATTAGCTTGATTTCCACATCGACAGCTGCAAGTGTTCATAACAAGATCGAATGGCACAAAACTCCAAACACTTTGCTTTCAAGATAGCTATCCGTATCTGGTTGTAATTCTACAAATCCCTCTTGTAGAATTCAAAAATGTTAAAGCAACTTTCAAGATGATTGTCCGTATTCGATTGCAAATAATATTAGGTTGATGCAAAAATAATGAGCGTTTTTCAAAATATTTACCTCAACTTGCTATAGCTTCCTATAAAATCTACATTCAAAAATGGGTCAAGACCATCAGATGCAGCGAACATTTTGCAATACAACGCACATTAACCTGTACTCATATCTCACATGGGCAAAAAAATATAGATTGAAGAACAAAAAAGTTTTTTTCCTGAAGTCTGGTTTTTGACAAAGCATAACTCACTTACATTTTGTTAGTATATTAGCCTGTAAGTAGCCTTTTTTGTGCCGCAAGCCGGTAATACAAATAAGTTTTTGGAAAAAAAGATTCGCGGGAAGAGAAAAGAGCGAAATTCAAAAATATCAGCTTTTTCAGCATTTTCAAAATTCCGATATAAAATTTTTCGATTTCTGCATGCAACAGCTAATTGTCTATAAAACTGTCACAGGATGCCCTACTCTTACGATTACAGAAATGAGGGAAGCTCTTTAGCTATTGCATTCTGAAAAGAAAGTATGGGCTCTAGAATGACCACAACCATTACCCATGTTAAGGCGCCATTATCTCAGTTTAGATAACTTCAAAAAATATGTTCAAGTGTGCATAATGTTGACATATAGTGGCTGAATATTCGAAAAATGTGCATTGTGCTTCAACTTCGGCCAGGAAAGGGAGTGCAACGAAAATGTGGTTTTGGTAGCGATCATTTGAAGCTCTATAATTCTTAACTGTGCTAAAGGTCCGTCTAACACAATTAGATAGAGCATAAAAAGAACTTCTCGATAGTGTGTTAAATCTATTGCAAAGAAGGAATTCGGATGAATGAAAGTTGTCCTGAGAAAAGTCCTAGGGAAACTCATTAATTTTGCATCAATCTATTATGGCGGAAGAAAAATCCTGCTTCATAATTAAGAGGATTGATATTTGGCGCCTCTTATTTGCAAACAAGATACGATGTGCGTTAGCTGTAAAGGACTGGCGCGCACGAAAATTGCAAAGCTATGGTTTCCAGCCTTCTCAGCGCTATCATTATGTAGAGTGTACCTGCTTTTTGATAGCTTTTGTAATTATACGTAAGCCACAGTCATTGTCAAACTATACCACTGTCGCAGCGAAGGTTGTAATAGTGTTACGTTGGATAAAATCATGTGACCAGCAACACAACGCTTGTTAATTTTCACTGAAAAAAAAAACAGAGTTTTATAATCAAATCTCTCAAGCGTTTGATTCAAGTTTAAAAAAGATATAAACACAAAATCTCTCAAAAACCAGGTGGCATATCCGGCTTCTCTCTCCATCTCGGTAAAGCATGTTGAAAATGCTTCTATGACACTTCTATATGCCATTGAGGTCCCCCGTCTTCACGTTTCAGCAATACTTAACTGCAATCACAATTCAAATTTCCATGTAACTGCTTCCGATAGTGCCTTAGCTAACGGGAAAAAATCTTAAAGACACCTAAGTCAATCGTTATGGCCATCGCAATCATTAGCATTATCTTTATCTTTTATCGTACACACTCAATGTGTACCATTCAAACCATAAAATTACAATTTAAGAGCATCAACATTTTGACCAAAATCCATCGGCGAGCTTTCCAGGTAAAACGAGAAAAGATTTAACCCGAACATATGGGAAACTTGCTCGTAGAGGTTATCCAACCTGCTGATTTCGAAACTCACATCTGCTTAGCAAGATAGCTTCGTATTCTAGGGCTATGGCGAGTAGAATTTGAGACGACAAAATTTTTCCAGAATTCACCAACCCTTCTATTTCCTCTGAAAAGAAATCTGCGGCTAGTATTCAACGCATCGTAATCTACAAATAAAGTACTACCGAAAGGTCCTTGCTGGAATTTATCCGGGACAATAATCCCTGCTCAACACCTTCACGAAGAGATGTCCGCAGAAAGATTCATGAATACTGAAATCGGAATATCAAGGACATGCTGTAAATTGAAAGATTCGTCTTGAAGAGCTGGCGCAATGCTTCTTTCCTATTCGGAATATGCTTATTTCAAAGGAGTTACGGCGAGTAGAATTTGGAAACGCGTGATTTTTCCAGAATTCACCAACGCTTCTATTTCTTTTCCAAGACAGTCTGCAGTTAGCTTCAAACGCACTATAATCTACAAGAACAACACTATCAAATAGTGCTTACTGGAATCTTTTCTGAACCTCCACACAAAAATTCGAGAAAACTGGAAACGAAATATTAAGGGTATGCTGTACATCAAAAGATTCGCCTTAAAGGTCTGAACAAAATGCTGCTTTCGGGTTTGGAATAATTTATTCCGAAGGAAGTTTGGCGTTGCGTATTCTGCGCTATTCCCATGATTCAGCGGATCCTGAAATGCTGCGAACTTCCCGGAATATCGCGAACTCTAGCAGACATCCCGGAATTCCGCGAAGTTCACGGAAATTTTGCACATTCTGTGAGCGGTATTGTGATCTTGAGCAAATTTTTAAGCGAATTCGATTAGACTGACTCTCTACCATGCTCCTGCAGTATACTTTCTACGCGTCATCAACGACAAATCAATGGCAATACTGTTATCAGCAAACTGAACAATCCAACCAAACAAAAATCTGCAAAATGAAAACTTACTGTTTAGCGTATACCTATCATATCCCGTTAGATTGTGGCACTCCTATATAAAAGATGATGCGTCTCGCCGAGCTGAATCGAATGGTGACCTTGGATTCAGAATTCGTCCATTCTGAAGCAAGATATGGCGATGCGACGCGGATTTCGACGGGCTCTAGTGATGTGCGGCGCACTCCGCTGCTCTCCGGCAGACTCTAGTGAAGTGTGGCGCACTCTGCCGCACTCCGCCTGAGTGCGCCGTAGTCCGGCGACTTTTTTGACGAATTATGAGCGGTATTGTAGATATTGCAATATGACGCCCTCGCCCCAGTATGCGTGCAAAGTTGGTTAAATAGAAAAATGAGTTTCCTTTAGTAAGAGCATACGCACGACACACGCACACATACACACAAACAAACGCAGACATTCTACTTTAAATAAGATATGTGTAAAGTTTGGTCCAAATCGGTTCAGAAGTGGAATTTCCTCTCGGAACACGCTCACAGACAAACATGTAGGACAAACATGATTGAACACAATCAACTTTATAATAAAGTTTAGACACACTACGTGATGGTATTCTTCATCATATCTGCTACATCCAAAAACGATCTACAAATTCTGCAGAAAGAGCAAGAAGAGTACGACGATTTGATTGTCACAGACTTGCACGAAGCCTTCCAGAATTTACATCTCAAAGTAAGTTCAAAGATCTATGAAAAAACTTTCCTTACTATGTGTCAAATTATGGCAATCACCAATCATGAGTCGATAAAAAGAGTTTCAACTTGGCCGAAGGGAGGGGGTGGGACGGTCTTCTGGAAATAATTTTTCCTTTGTCACTGCCGAATTTTACAATTCCCTTGCGTCAGTTTCGTTCAATTAAGAAGGGCACTTTTCTTCTTAATGACAATGTCCGGGGAAGCTCAGTTTCCAGGGACTATTCGCGAATGAGATTACATGTTAGAAGGTACGAAAACTGTAAGCACAGGCTTTTTGAAAGGCCTTTGTTCTCAATTTGGACAGTTTCCGCAAAAATTGATGCAGGGTCGCTGCGAGTCTGCGATTTTGAAGTATGGTGTTGAAAAAAGGGCAAGTTGGCCCTGCTTTGAGGTTCTGATATCAAGGTTGCTGCGGATTGACTTTGACATGTGCAAGGTCTGAGCAATTGCTCTTTGTGCTAATATCTATATTTCTACGGGATTTATCATCCGCCATTTCGGAGAATGCAAACTTCCTCAAACTCTTTTTCGTCTGTTCAATGTTTTTTTTTTAAATTTGTTTCATTATTTTTTGTTATTCGTATTTGATCCACTCATGATCGCTTCGTAGGCGATGTCGTATTTTTGTTGCAAATTCTAGGATTTCGTTTTGAAGAAATGAAAAAGCCACCTCATTTCGAGCCCTGGTATTGACACACCTGCATAAGCTTAATTTGAAACCATGTCCAGCATCTGCTGAACTTTCTTCAAAAAGTGTATATATTTTTGACATATATTGGACTACCCTGACTTATTAGAAACGTAGAGTTTAGGCGTGGATGGCTTAGCGGCGTGACGCTTCATGTTAGTAAGCTCGTTTCTGCGAAGTCGTCGGTTCGATACCACCCAAAAGTCCTCCGACACCAGCCCTATTCGGCTCCCTCCGAGAAGGGCGTGCGACAGATGGGCTGATGGACACCGTCTCACCAAAAATCAGTTCTCAGCCAAAAACGCGAACCTGCACAAGCGACAAAAAAACCAAAAAGGAGACAATAGATAGCTTACACCTTCTATGAAATAACGGTAGAAAAAGGAGCATGTCATTGTGCTTTAATGAGCTATCCTTAGCCTTCCTAAAACTTATAGTCAATAATGTCACGGACAAGAACAAACTCAGTGTCATCATTTGAAGCCGCACTGATTATTGCATATTTAGGAAATCAAAAAAGGCTACGTAGCTACGTACCGTATGTTCCTTGTAAGCAGCAACCTATGCTTTTTTGAGCAATACCAGCCTTTTGTGCAACTTGTCTTCATTTGCTCTGTGCATTTACTTTTCAGTTACGTTCCCAAAAATGTGTGGCCAAGCGAACATTACCCGCCTTTTTGCAGTGGTCCTATGTATAGAATGGGTAGAGAGGCTAGTCAGCTCATCCTTGACTATGCTCCCTTATTTAAGCCTTTAGGTGGACTGGATGTAAGAGCGATAGGAAGACGTTTTGAACATGATAATTATTAACTTTTGACTCAGGACCCATTCTACACTGGTATTATTGCCGAAGAGGCAAAGATTCGAAGAGTTCATTGGGAAGCTAGTGTGACTTTGGATTTCCGGGTGAGTTTTCACTCATTTTGCTTAAACATACTGCTAATAAATTTTTACAAGAAATGGCCAGAAAGTCCGACCAGCAAAAGCAAGGCGTACCTCATCTCAGTCGCCTTAAAATGCTGATCTCAATATACATTTTATCTGCTAAATTTTGTGGATGAGCCGTAAGGTTCAATAGAACTTGTGCAAGTCACAATAAATAGAGTTCGTTAAAGAGCAGCCTAAAGGCATGCGTCTACACTGATTATGAGTATTCCAATTACAGAAAGCAGATAATAAACATAAGTTAAGAATCAGCTTTTCAATGCGAGTGCATGATATACAGCTTGTTTGGAATGGCCGGACCAACTGCTGGCTCATTTATTTGCTGGAAGTGAAGCCTTGAATTGGCAAAATTCAATACACAAGAAAGCTAACTACTCAGTAACTAAGAACTCTCTTCGATTTTATCATTACAGTCGGATATAAACACCGAGTATACTAAGGCCCCGGTCAGACTTCACGCGACTTAATCGTCGCGATCTAATCGCCAAGATTTCCATTCATTTTCATTTCACATTCAAAATTTTCAGGCTGGAAAAGTATCACAACCGAATGCAAGTTGATCGGCATGGAATGATGTTGTGACAGTTGTCTCGTCGCGACTCAGTCGCGACGATCAAATCGCGTGAAGTCTGCCCGGGGCCTAAGGCATTTTAATGCTTGTCTTTTCACTGCAGTGACAAACTTCTTAATTTTGATCGGGATTTAGGTATTATTCTTGAAAGCAATGCAAGCTCTACAAGAGAGTATGTATATTTTCGCATCAACTTCGGTCCATTTCATTTTGAAGCCAAAATCTACTTACTTAGATACTTAGATGGCCCGTCCTCACGTGACGTGCGGGCCCCAGTACAGTTGCCATTTTCCCTGTCCCTCGCTTCAGACATCCATGATCTTCTTGGTCGTCGTCGGTGGCTGCGTCCACGAGTTCGAGGGGCGAAAATCGTATCCAGCTGATTTCTCAGCTGGTCCATCCGTTCCACGAACACGTCTGCCCATCTCGTTGGTGGTCTTCCTCGAGGAAGTTTGGCTTTGCGAGGAATCTACTCAGATGTTCTTAGTGTCCATCTGTCGTCTGTTCTTCTCATTATGTGACCGGCCCATCGGTGTTTGGCTTTCGCAAGGTATTCCGCTAAATCACGAAGACGGCACATTCTTCTCATATCCGTGCTGCGAAGTCCGACTAGATGTTGCTTGCGTCGGGTCATCTTCAGAAGACTGCGCTCGAGCGCTCTGTGGATGGTTCGTAAAGCTTTCGACGTGGCTACAGTGTCGGCCCAAGTCTCAGCTGCGTAACAGAACGCTGGGAGAACGGTTGAGTCGAACAGGTAGGCACGAAGCTCCGGCTCCGTCAGTTGGTCGGTGGCTTTCTTCAAAGGTCCGAAGGCGGCCCAGGCTGCTCTTCTTTTCCTATTAAGTTCTTCCCTTAAGTCGTTCTCCATGTTCATCAAATGTCCGAGATACATGTAAGAAGACGTCTCCATGATGAGGGTACCTTCCAATTCTATTTCTGCATCATCGCAAAGGGCGTTCTTCATGAACTGGATCTTCTTCCGATTTATTCGCAGTCCTATCTTGTTCCCTATTTCGTTTAGTTCCTTCAGCATCGTCTCTGCTTCGGTGATAGTGCTCGAGAAGAGAACGATGTCGTCCGCAAAACGAAGGTTAGACAGGGATTTCCCATCAACTCGTATGCCTCTCTCGTTCGGTCCAGTGACTTCATCACCCACTGCAAAACCGCAGTGAACAGCTTCGGCGAAATTGTGTCACCTTGTCGGACCCCTTATTAATTGCAATGGTTAGGGGGCGATAGAACAGCTGCATCGTTGTTGTACAGTGCTGTAGCAGACGGCTAGTGTCCTCACGTAAGCTGGGTCTACTCCTTGATCGACTAGTGCTGACAGAATGGCATTCCTTTCGACGCTGTCGAAGGCTTTCTCATAGTCGACGAAGGTTAGGACGAGAGGCAGTCGGTATTCCCGGCAGACTTCTATGACTCTCGAAACTGTCTGGATGTGGTCCACGCAAATGAATCCTTTGCGGAATCCAGCTTGTTGGATTGGGCTTCATCCATTGTCCTATATATGCGAGATAATCTTCGTGAAAAGCTTGTACAGCACACTCAGCAGGCATATTGGACTTTAGTTTGGAAGATTCTCTCGTAGGCCTATCTTGAAGAAAAGGACGGTTCTTGATGTTCCCCACTGGTCGGGAGTCTTCTCCTTCCAAAGGTAAGATGTCAAATGCGACGCTAGAACCTCGTGTAGACGGTGTCCTCCGGCTCGCAGAAGTTCGACGGAAAGATGATCTGGTTCTGGAGCCGTAGACGTCTTCATGGTCTGTATCGCGACACGCACTTCAGCAGGTAGAATTCGTGGTGATACTTCTTCAGTGGGAACAACGGGCATCTGAACGGGTGCTGATGAGCGGAAGAGGTTGGTGTAAAAGTTCTTCGCGATAGATTCCATCTTGTATTGGGAAGAAGTGTCGGAGTCCCGTCTTCGTTCAATGGTGCAGCCAGCGGTACGTGATATTCACAGAGGTCCCTTCGGTACTTCTTGAGACTTCTTCCTTCGGCTGCTTCCAGTATCTTGGCTTGCCTGTACTTCCTGAGATCCTCTTGCACAGCTGTTCTGCAACTGGCGCTGGCTATCAGTCGCTCGAGATGGTTGCATTCGGATCCTGCCTCAGAAATCTTCTTCTTTCGAGCATTTTCTTGGTGGTCTTCGAAATGCGTTCCAAGTTCTTCTCTAGAGTCACTGAGGCGCATTCTCCGCAGGCTCGCAATCCTTTCAAAAGCCGGTCGTAGTCGTACGTTGGGACCTCCTCGATGGGCCAGTGACAACTTGATATGAGCTCTTCCAGCCTGTTACCGTCATAAACGACTTCCTTCCTTCTCGCGGCACTATGACAGACTTACTTTTCCAGCCTTCGGCTGAGTCGTATCGGGAGACGTGCAAGTGGTACCCGGGCAGTCGACTGCTGCCGTAGTCAGCCGTTAGAGCTGCCGGTAAAGCCGCTGCAGATGGTACAGTATTACGCTCGTCGTTTAAAACTCTTGCTGAGAGGCAGAACTCTTGCTCCCAAAAACATGAATTATCTGCTGTTCAAAGATATAGATATCGAGGATATCACGCATTCCTGAGGCTGATTTCGCACCTCAGAGCGACGGGAGCGAGAAGAACTTTCGGCAAGAGTTTTGGACGACGAGCATAATTACTGTGCCATTTGCAGCGGCTTTACCGGCAGCTCTAACGGCTGACTGCGGCAGCAGTCGGCTGCCCGGGTACCACTTGCCACACACCCAGTCGTATCTTCGCTCGAAGGAGGCGGTGATCGGAGCCACTACAGAATGATGGAACTACAGAGACGTCGAGTAAGCTCCACCTTCAGTTGGTGAGAATGTGGTCGATCTCAGCATGAGTCGTTCCGTTGGGCGATTCCCGAGTCTACCGGCGATGTTCTTTCTTCATGAAGATGAAGTTTCCATGGAAGAGTCGTGCGGCGAAGAGAAGCCCAACGAGCCCTTCGGAGCCCATATCCAAACTTCCCGATCCTATATTCCTTTTCTAATGGCATCCCGATTTTGCATTGAAGTCGCCCACAACATACTTATAGAAGGACTTTTCGTTGCGGACGACCTCCTCCACGTCTTCGTAGAAAGCATCTAGTTCTGAGTCGTCAGCTGCTGATGTTGTTGATGATGCTAATGGTCTTCTGACGTGGAGGGCGTAGTCGTAGGATGCCTAGTCAAGGAGATAGGATCTCGTGCGAATCGACAAGATGGACGATAGATGGGTGGACGACAAAGCCGACGCCTCCCACGTTTCGCGATGGAACCTTTTCACCACGAATGATGAGGATCCCATCACTCATCTGTCGCACGTCCTTCTTTTTGGACTTTGTTTCCCGCAGAGCGATAATGTAGTAGTTGATGTGCTCTGCAGCGTCGAGAAGAGCGTGGAGGTCGGCGTTTGTGGAGACTGTCCTGGCGTTGTAGGTGCAGAGCATGAGGCAGTCTCCATGGCGTGTCGTCCGGGCAGACGTGTCGTTTTTGTCCAATCCGAAAGGCGTCCTGAGTACCCTGACATCATTCTTGCTACCACCCGGCGCCGTAGGCGGGATACGATGTGCAGGGTTTCTTTCTAATCTTCTAACTAGAGGAGTAATATGAATTTTCACCTATAAAAGGTGGCTTACTAGGAACTACTCTTAATTTCCACGAGGCTATCGCTGACACCGGGCTTAGAGCGGGGAGGGACCGCCTAGCGACCAGAAGAAGCCAGACGGCGGGGGATCTCGCGTGGCCGGTTCTTAGCTAGGCATCCGGCCGAAACCGGAAACGTCGAACTCCTTCACAGCTTGGAGGCCTATCAGAGTATGCACTCGACTGTGCATCGCAGTTCGACACCCAGTGTCACCCCCACGCCACGACGAGGCGACCGACCATTGTGGGGGAGCCAAAATCGGAAGAACTGTAATGCCCAAAAAAGTGAAAAAAGGAATCTCGACTTTTTTGAGCATCCAAACTTTTGGATTTCTGTTCCTATGAGGTGATCAAAGCTGGTGCGAACTTTCACATAACCTTATACAGCTTGCTACTTTATCCATTGGTATCTTCAAAATAACAGCGTATGGCAGACTTATAGCGTAAGAAAGACACGATCTAACAATACACATGTGTATGTATCCTTGAGCCTGAGTTTGTAACTTAATATGTGTAAGTGCACACTCTGCGCCACAAGAGACGGCAGCCTTGCTAGTAACTTTTCTGTAAAATTTCTTCTAGCTTAACAGACTATAGAATTGTGTTCTACTTATTGAAATACATCCAACAAAACAAAAAAGACAGCGAAACAAAGACAATGTGCGGGAAACGAGCGGATTCTAATTTTCGAGTTCCTCAGGTAGCGCACATAGAGTGCAGCAGGCATATTGAATTACGAATGGCTCGACGATATGTATGTAACACCTGTAGTGGGAGGTCCCTAGAAGATTTCTGGACGGACATCCGATTCTTTTCGATTTTCTGTACATCTGAAACTTTTTAAATGCTGATGTTTGACTTCAGGTGGAACAACCTTGCGCAAAAGCACCAAAACTGTTTGTAGAACTTGCTTTGCTCAATCGAACAGTACCCTCACGCATTTTTGTGGTTCGCCCGATTGCAGTCAAAGCAGAGATCGTATGGAAGCATGCTGGACTTGATTTTTGGGAGGGGGAGCAAAGCGGATACCGTTTTAGTGGCCAAAAATTGCGACATTTTTTAGTCGACATTTTGTTTTTTAGGGTTTTTTTTACGTTCACGGCTGAGAGTCAGAGGGTATTTCGTAAAATTTCGCGAAGGTCGAGGGGACTTCGTTTTCAAGAAGTCTGAAAACGAAATCATGCCGGGGTTGCGGTGCAGCAAGCAAATAAAAACCGACATTATTTTCTTGACAGTCTAATAAAAAATGAAACGACAAACTTTTGTAACAAATAATACTTTGAATATGACTTTGACTGATAATTAGAACAACGTGTAAAAGAAGCTACGCATACTGACATTGAGTGTCTCTCACATCTAAATCTTTTGACATTATTCGCAACCTCCTTTATGTAGCTGACCCACATACTGATTAAGTCACTAGATTTTTCGCGAGATCAAAGTATGCAGATGATAGTGAACCATGGTTTACTATTTTTGGAAACTCGACGTGTACCTTGCCAACCGTCCGCCAATTGGAGTTTGCTTTTATTACACAAACAATGGAACGTAAGCTTTGTCATGTTGTACGAAAAATCTTATCCTTGAACGCTATAGCCAATAATTCTCCTCTACTGAGCAAGTTTGTAGAGAATGATATATCATACCTACAAGGAAAGATAAGTGATGGCCGTGGCCTTTTGAATATGTTATACACAAATGCTTGCCTTGAGAAACTGATTTTGAAACTATCTTCGTTAACTGCAAGACGCTTTTTCGAGAAGAATTAGCGCTTGTAAAAGCGCCAACGCAAATCTACACCGACCGAGATCAAACGGGCATGCATTGTGCAATAATCGACAGCGCTAACCGCCAGACCATTCGAGACCTTTAGGACTTGGAGAAATTACTCGTTCTCTTGCGCAACACCTCAGATGAGGGTAAATACGGTTTTTCCGAAATATTGTTTTGCAGATAAAAATGGTTTTTGAGATCAGCGTTTCAAGGTGAATGTCATGCCATATGTCACAGATTGAAAGACCGCGATCACCAAGCATCCTTCCGCGTTAGGATGAACTTGAGTTGCTACAAATCTTATTGTGCCATAACCCATACTGTAAGCACAGAAAGACTTCGAGTACTAAACCTGGTTCCTTTACTAAGCAGTTTTGCCGTGGTTTGCATCGACTGTGAGTGAGACCGCAATGAAATTGAAACTTTTCGAGAGATGCGTTGATTAAACTAAGCATTTTGATTGTGTCATAATTATCATGGTGTTACATATACAAGTATTGTTGAACCGTGTCTATTTTACGCAATAAGTCAAACGCTTAGGTTAGAGATATCACTGGTCAGAGCTCTATAGGCTCTATCTTGCACTAGCTTCGGCCCAACCAACTTTTGAGCCAAAATCTGAAGAATATAAACGTCCAGAAAGAAAAAGAATCTTTGACTTTTGCGCATCCAAACTTTTACACTCAAAAGACAATCCCAAAGCTGCCTTTTTGATCTGCAAGTATCTCCGTTTTTGGAACAGATGCAATGCATGCCTTGGTTCGGATTTATCAGAATGTTTATGCAATTTCGCACACTTACTTAGTAATCCATTGCGTCCGCTGCCACGATGATCTTCTGCCTTGGGGCTAGGGTCAAGCGTGTTGATGCGATCCGGGGCCCTTACTTACGACCTCCCCCCCATGAAGGCACCCATCCGTACGACTTCCCCCCCCCCCCCCCCCTCATCTGCCCCCTTACCTTCCCTGCCCACATTCCCTGCTCAATCTGCATAACCGAATGTCAATCTCAAAAAAACACCTGCATGAGAACTACAGTGAGGTTTCGAGGCAGAACTTCTAGGCCAATGGGTGCGCCCAGCATCTTAGCACACACATACACACCTTCAAAAATGTTTGAGATTCTGCAAGTTTTTTTTTGAATTTTCAGGCAAACTTTAAGCCAGGAAATTCGGTTCCCGTATGCGACAAAAATTTTTGCACGAAGAAAAAAAATGACATTCTTGAACTGCAAAGAATGTTTTCGACTAAGAAACTTACTTTTTACCTTGCACAGTTTTTCCTGAGGGAAAAACCGCTTTAGCGCCATCCAGAACGATGCCAAAAACGTGCATGAGCACGGTAGTCTGAAAATTCGTAATTAAGGCCAGGAAAAGACTGAGAGGAGGCAATGAACAGATTCTGTAGCATAGTGCCCAGACTATCCATAAAAAAAGTTCCAGCCCTTGAGGAGCAGCTCGAAAAAAATCTAGATGCGACTCTCGCAAATTTAGATCCGATCCTAAAAAGCAAAAACTGGGATTTTTGAGCTTAAAATTTTGTAACTTGCCAGAGAAGTTATAAAACAGCTTTTTATGAGGAAAAATAGAAGGATGGCTTCAAATTACAACAAAATTGCAGCCAACAAGCTTTCATAGCTCCAAAGAAATTTAGATGCGACCCAGATACGACCCCCCCCCCCTACTTCAGTTCTAGTCGGCTTACAAAAAAATATTAAGAAATCCAAAAACTACGGAATAAGAGCAGATTTTGTATAAATGTAGCAGAGCATCTTCAAAGTACAGATTAATTGTATGGGCGCGTGAACAGCGTTGCAAAAAGATTCAAAAATTATTGAAGATCGTCGGTAAAAATAGTCGTTTTTGTTCGAGTGTGTGAGACTTCAGAGAGGCCCGAAAGCAAGATTTCCAAGCCAGTTAGTACATTTCGAATTTTTATCAAGTCTTGCATCCTTAAAAAGTGTTTTGAGCTTATGAATTATTTTTTTTTGAGAATTTTTGAGGAATTTTATTCTTACTATTCTTATTTCTACTTTTTTTGAATTTATTGTAAAGAGCATGTACATACTGATTATCTGCTTTTTGGTTTCCTTCTGAGCTTACGGTTTTCATCCAAACTAAATGCTTCCTCTTACGACCACCTCCCCACCGTTGCCCACTTTACGACCCCCTGTTGCGACAGTCGCGACTGATGCACACGCTTAACCTTGATTGGGGCATGTTGAACGAATCGGGTCATTTGACAACATACTTTTGACTTCTCGAATGCTTTTCCTGCCGTATTCGAGACCGGTTTCGCATCTATCCTGGTCAGGAACAGCTTTAATCCTTGGTGTGAAAGTTAAGTTTGTCCGACTGTAAGATTGTAGGATTAAGCCTAGCGTCATTTGAAGGAAATTATGTAGTCCTAGTTCAACGGATCAAATGTAACTCATCCAGCTGCAAACATCAAAGAATTCAAATAAAATTAAATTCTGTGCTGCAAAAGTTGCAGGAAGTTTAGTAACTTGGGTTTTGCAGAAACTGAAGCGCAATAAATTAAAGGAGGTGAAGATTTTCGTTCATTCGTTGCATACACCAGAACATCTTCGAACAGTTTTTCAACTTATGAAAGATAGTAAACGCAGTTATGACAATGATATCATCAGAAGTTGCATTGTTTGCCTGTTGATTCTTGCTCTCTTTTGTGTTTGTTATTGATTGTTTTTTGATTTAGTAATAAATATATTTCTCAAACTTTTCGGGTATGCTGACTGCCATAGACGAATCGTAAATAACTGCTTATTCCAAAGGCTCTTCCGCGGTTGCTCAGCTTGAATGTTAAATCTTCTTACCAAAGACGCAAAAACAGATTCGAATAGTTTTTGAATGTGATTTGGTAGCTCTAAGAACGCCTTCAGCATGACTTGAACAAAGCTCAAGAAATAAGTGACTTCGCAGTTTTAGTCAGCGCCGACAATACTTCAAAAATAAATAAAAAATCCCTGAATAATTTTCCTTCTTGAAGATACAAGCAAAATTTCTTCATTCTTCGAATCACTCGATGCGCAAAAGGAAACAGAAGCATCTTTAATGTCAAGAAAATACAACGACCTGATGCAGCAAAATTGAACTTTTTTTAGACTTTTAGACTTTTTTAAGACTATTCATAAAGTTTTACAAATTCTTACAAATTCTACCCAATCCAAAAATTTGGGTATTAACAAAAATTATGCATGTCAACCATTTCAAAAAGATACGTAATCAGAAGAAACTGGAGTGAAACTATGTGACTTTGATGAACTTACCCAGATGTCCAGTAGTAATAACAAGCAGTTGTTCAGCATAAGTTATACAAATTTGTTTATTTGGTGTATGCATCCTACGGAAGTAAGGACTGCGTTAGGATAAAGTGAAAAGGGCGGGCATACATCAGGTGATCTATCGTCTCGCATTTCCCACGACAAAACAACTGTTACGAGCTCACTGCTTGCAGACCAGCATGCATTTCGATTGTGACAGTCACTTGCGTTTAGTCGTGTCGGAAAATTATCACAACCGAAATGCAAGATACTATGTATGCAATGGACTTGCAGCAGTTGTCGTGTTGAGAGAATCGCGAGCCGATGAAATTGCGTGATGTATGCCTGACGTTGGAGATGTTTCTGATTTTCTACCGTATAAGTTGATTTGCTCATCAGCTCCGCCGAGTCCGCCACGTATTCAGACGTGTCGTATTATATCAGATCAACCCTTAAATGTGGCACGAAAATTTGCAGAGCTGATGGACGAATCTGTACCGATAGAAGAACCAATACGCATTGACACAGGCTGTACTTGGCACTGTCTGTATTGTTTAAATTGTACAGATGATCAAGCTGGCATTCCGAGTACCACCCCGTTCTGGAGCCTCCATCGTACTTGACCTCTCAAATAGCAAAGCTCACCCTTCCTTTGATTCCGACTTTCGCTTCCTACCGTCCTTATCATATTTTGATGACCAGCAGATTAAAATGAGCTTCACCACTCATCTTTCATGGTTAATGGGAAATGTGCACGGATACATAGACACACAGATTTTCTGCTTTATTTATATAGAGATAAACCCCACTATATAGTCTTGACACACCTGAGGTGCTTCAGTCGTGTTCAAACAGTAGTACGGACTACCAACTCCCGGGGCAAATACTGCAAAAGAGCAGACGCAGGCAAGCTGCTTTGTCAGATTTTGAAGGTATAAAAAAGTTCCAGGAGCACCGTAACAAACCTGTGCCTTCCAGGCCAAACTATGTGCTTCAAACTCCTACTTAAGACGCCGTTCACCAAAGGGCCAGGTTGATGGAAACGCAGCGTGTTCTCAGCATTTGGCGCATTATTTGTAGCGCCTGCGGGTCTTTGATAACTTTACTGTAGGGCAGGTTTGAACTTATAATCGTTGTACAAAATTTATTACCCTAATTTCACGAGTACAAGGCGCGGGGGATTTTTTTCCAAAATTGACTAGCCCAAATACGCCAAAGAACTTTGCAACCAAAGGACCCTATGCCATGCTGTATATTGCTTAAGAGAATCGTACGGCATAGGGATCGCTTACCGAATTACTTTGGAGCAGCTGAGGGTTTTGATTGAAAAATCGAAAAAGGAGCGCCTTGTACGCGTGAAATTGGGGTACCCTTATTTTTTGTTACTGTAGAATTACGACAGAAACCTGTAAGATTATTGATCAATGAGAGCATATATCGGCCAAAGAATATTGAAGACAGTGTTGTCAAAACATGCAGGCAGAAAACGATTTATATGAACATAAACGACACATAAAAATGCTCAGCTTTGAAGGAAAATATTGAAAACGGAGGACTTCAGCTTAAACGCTGACGCTGCTGCCAATAATTCGCGCCAGCCTTACTTTTCATCCCGATGTGCCCAAACGTTTTGATATGTATGTGTTGAATACTTAATCTAACCTATTGTCCTCTATCGGAACCCAGGCAAACTCGTCCCGTGTCCTCTACAAGAACTCCTTTTGTTAAGAAAATCAAAACCCCCAGTCCCACCCAGAGGTGCGATGGGGGGAGTAAAGGTGGTCCCTGCTACCAGGCCGGCCAAAAGTAGGTGGTAGAGCGAACACTCACCTCCCAAACACGTCGACCGGGGGGGGGGGACGAACGAAGTGAGCTCCTTCTAGGTCGAACTGTGACCCAACGGCCCTCTTTAGGGCCACAGATACGATGAATATAGCAGCATAAATATTTGAAATAAACGTGTTAATGGTGTGTTTCGAGGTGAAACTCAGCGAGGCTTTACAGATTTTATCAAGTAAATTTTGTTATTACGTACTGCGAAGAAAGTAGGTCGATCCAGGTAGTAACCGCCGAAAACCAGAATTTTGAATGATAAAATAACGAAAAATCATGCGAAATTTCCACTGTTATAAATCTGGTGTTTGAAGATGTCAGCAACTGCAATTTGTATGTTTCAAAGGGTAAGTGTTGTTCTACCAGATAGTGAAGGAAGCAGCTCGATATGAGCAGTGGCCGCCGAGAACGAGAATTTTGAAAAATTAAGCGATTTTAGTATGCTCAGTGACAGCTGACAGTTAAACTCATATAAATCTTAAATGTGAAAGTGCATGATGTTGCGACTTCATAAGCATTGTAAAGTAAGGTTTGCCTTATCAGAATGTATTTTAGCCGTACCGATCCATTCAAACAGCGCCGAAATCCTGGGTCTTAAATATGCAGGTAAAAAAGCGATTTTTGAAACTCAACAGCTCATAACTTCTTAAGAACTGCATGAATCACATTGCGACTTCATAGGTTAGTTTTTCTCATCAAGAGCTTTCAGAAGATTTATGATATGTGAGTTTTAGCATTTCCTACGACTTATGGCCGTGGGAGGAGACTTTTCATTATAAATTCTCCCCCAGCCCACTTTGATGTATTGGGTGGAGGCCGCCAGGGGAGAACTTGTGATGAAAAGTCTCTTCCCACGGGCATAAGTCGTAGGTACCCTAAACCCCCACATATCATATATCATCGGAAAGCTCTTAATGAGAAAAATCTAATCTATGAAGTTGCAACATGATTCATGCAGCTCTTAAGAAGTTATGAGCTGTTGAGTTTCAAAAAGCGCTTTTTTACCTGCTTCTTTAAAGGCAGCGTCCGGGCAAAATTTCGCCTCTCATGTTCTGCCATTCTGGGACCTTTCCGTAGCCCTGATTACAGCTGTCAAGTCGAAATTGTTCAAAACTCCCAAAAACCCAGTTCTGGGGGACCCTCTCTTCAAAAGGTGGACGAGTTTCGAATTGCTCGTCCCCATCGTCATGCCAGCGGGAGGGGCTGCAACTGCACGGATGCAGTTGCATTGCAGTGTGCAGTGCAACTGCAATGCAACTACAATGCAACCGCACCCTGCGTAAGCACTCGTCCTCAGGGGTGGTTTGTGATACGAAGGGGCGGCTTGTGATACGTATCACAGGCCCGTATCTCCTTTTAGAGGGCACGTCAAAGGATTGGACCAACGCAGATCGGATACTCATGGGTCCCTCTTTACAACTATGTAATAATCAGGGTGGATGGATTTTGCCTGGACGCTGCCTTTAAGATCCTGGATCTCGGTGCTGTTTCATTGGATCGGTACGGCTAAGATACATTCTGATAATGCAAACCTTACTTTACAAAGCCTATGAAGTCGCAACATCACACACCTTCACATTCAGGATTTATACAAGAACTGTCAGCTGTCACTAAACAACCTAAAATGGCCTAATTCTTTGAAAATCTGTCTCTCGGCGACCTCCCCTCAAATCGAACTGATTTTTTACCATCTGATAGAGCACCATTTACTCTTCAAAATTTTTGAAGTTGCAATTGCTGACATCTTCAAACACCAGATTTATAACAGTGGAAATTTCGCATGAATTTTCGTTATTTTATCATTCAAAATTCTGATTTTCGGCGGTTATTGCTTGGATCGACCTACTTTCTTCGCAGTACGTTATAACAAATTTTACTTAATAAAATCTGTAAAATCTCCCCGAGTCTCACTTCAAAACACACTATTTACCAAACACGTTTATTTTAAATATATATGCCGCCGTATACATAGAAATATGCTTTCAATAATCCTTTTTGCGTTCATTTTGCTTATTTTCCTTCCTTATCGTCCAGCGAAAAAAATTTTTTTATTCCAAATGTGAAGGTGGTCACCCTGTATCAGCTCGAAAATGGAGATAGGAGGAGAATCGGCTCCCACTATCGCACCACTAGTACCACTCGTGCGTAAGCTCGACCCCTTCAACAGTGGCAAGCTGACCACTTGGCCTAATTACTCGATCCACACAAATCTCAAAACTTGTACCGTTGTATGCGGTTTGCAGTTTTTTTCAGTTTTTGTGCAGTTTTGTCCGAGCGAGAAAGTTTGTCGTAAGAGGGAGGAGAGTGCCACAAGTGGAAGAATTTGGCAAAGTGGGGCGGAGCTTGCTGTACAGTATACGTCGGACGAATGGAGGAAATATTCAAGTATTCGAATCTTAGTATTCAAGTAAAATTTATTCAAAGATTATTTGAAAATTTCAAAATTCCGTATATATTCGTATTCGCTTATTCAATATTTGTCAATTTCCACATTTATCCGATTATTCAATTACTTTGATCTTTGAATTTACTCAATCTTTAGATTTCAAATGTATTGGAACACTACTTTCAAAAGTTATTCGATTATTCGACAATTTCGTCTCGAACTACTATTAGGTGGGTCTAAAACTTCATGCTGTTTTTTAGCCCTATCTTCAATCAGAATAATGATAGGCAAACACTCTAAACATTGTTCCATGCAGA